TTCATCTTCAAATCCATCTTCTTTTTTATGTTCTTTTTTCTCTCAATTCTTCACAATAGTGAAATATTTATTTATTTTTTTCAAGAAAAGAATATAAACATTTGTAGCACCTTTAGGCCATTGATGTTTTCTAATTTGCATATTATCAATTCAAAACTAGTTCGATTTTCTTTCTCTACATACTTGTATAATGACTGTTTTTAATACGCAATCCATTATTAAATATAACATCTATTACTTTATACAGCTATCCACCTACTGACACTTTAGTCGTTGGTACAACACAAGGTAAAGTAAATTTGTTTGCTGGTATTTCTTTACCATCTTCTGAATAAAAATAATAGAAAATAAATGATAAGTATTCCTTTGGAGATAATAAAAACATTTATATTTTTGGGATTTTATAAATATACAGGGTGTCTCATTTTAAATTACGCACCTAAATATCTCGTCAGGGGAGCCACCAATCCAAAAATAACCCTTTACAAAAGTTGTTGGATTCGGAGGGAGACAACGGATTGTGCTGTCAGTATGCACATGGCTGCACGCTTATTCGCGAATCTTTATTAATTGATATCTCGTTAATTATTGCGAATCATGCAAAGTAATATAGGACTTTTCGTCTGAGAATAACTCCTTCTATCTGCCTACGAGCAGTGTTACGGCAATTACCGAACACTCTGTATATAGGGTGTCCAAAAAATTTTGACCAAGCCGAAGTGTGAAGGTAGATTTCGTTAATCTGAATAAAAAAGTTATATACTATTTTGCAAAATTCGCTACAATTATTGAATAGTTAATAAATGTGAGCCAATGGGCGCGCGGGAAGCAATGGTCCGAACTCTGTAGGCGTACCCTTATCAGTTGTGAAAAAAGATGGCTTCCTTCATGCAATGTTCTAGAAACGTGAGGCGGAATAAACAAGCAAACGCGGCGTGATTCAGCTTCTTGAAAGCAGCCGATATTCGGCGATACGCAGCAAGCAGCGGAGAATAAGAAGACTGCTTTCCGCGATTACCTGATTCTCACGATATATACGGCGCTCGCAGCGAACGGTGTGTGATAAAAAAAGGATATTATTAGTAATCGGACAAAAAGACGTTTTTCTTATTTTGATAAAATAAAAAATAAGGAAAGCATCTTTTTGTCCTGTGACGAGGCGAACCTCGTCATTTGTAAGTAGATGTATATATTATTGATATTTTTTATTATTAATCGTGTTATTAGTAGTATTACTGCTTTTATTCCAATTACGTCTTTATCATCATAACTATTAACGTTCATAAATATATGTATTCTTATTAACTACCGTATAGTTTAGTCAATAGATAGTTTAGTTTATCCTCTTATAGAGATAAATAGCGCAAACGTGTGAGAGAATATGCGTGTAACTGACGTCATCAACAGCACGCCGGAGCGTGCTAGCGCCGCGCAAACGAGTGCTCACCGCACGTCGACCTCAGACGAAATTTAGGCCGCCCGGGAAGTATATAAGTCGGCCGAAATCGGTAGTCGAGACCAGTGTTCTCAGTTTTGGCTCTCTCACAGCATGCTGAAGTGGTAGAAGGGATGCGCACAACAGCAGCAAGTTCATGCAGGTAGAACTCGCTGCTGTTGTGCGCACCCCCTTCACTGCTTTAGCATACTGTAAGAGAGTCAAAACTGAGAACACTGGTCGAGACCAGTTCCCATCTCGAGCTCGAGACGAAGTCTCGAGAGCGAACCTTCCCGCCGAGGCGTTGTCTCGGACTTAGAAAAATCCTCTCCAGTCGAGGCGTTGTCTCGACTTAGCCTGGTGGCAGAACGTTGTCAGAGGCGTTGTCTTGAAGCGCACCCGGACAGGGCGCTGTCTCGTCAAATCGAGATCGAGGCGTTGTCTCGATCGACTCCGGCGTTTCAACGCGAACTATCTCCGTCGGCTCCACGAGCACTGGAGACACATCGGTCATTGTCACGGCCACATCAGTTTTCACGACTACGATCGGTCGTTTTCACGACCACGAACGTCTCGTGCCGTAAGACAAACCCTGTACATTTGCCCTTGTACATAACCCCGTAAAATTAAGTTTAGCTATAAGACTACCGCATCACGATTCACGCGCGCTGCCGATTTGAAGACCCCGCGTTGGTCATTTACACCGCGCCGATTATAGCGTCGCGATCCACACTGCACCGATATAGCATATCGCTCACCGTGTGCAAAAACTATCGCGCCAGTTATAACGTACCGCGCCGACCCACACGCCGGATTGATTTATCGAAACTTTTCTCACCGTCTTGTAAATATTAAAAAAAAATAGAATAAAACCTTTGTTTACGCAAAACCTATTTGAGTGTCGCAATTTCACGTCTTCCTCTTCTCCTGAAAAACCTTAGCACCGAGCTGTCCGCCAGGCGGGAAGTCAAGCAAGTCAATTGGAAATCGGTTCCGTTACAGTCCAATTACTAATAATATCTGTTTTTTTACTAACAAAAAAAAATGAAAGCGCTATCATTTCTTCACTACCTTGCGGTAGATAGCATGATGCGTTTTTTTAAGTGATTTTCTAGGGAGGCCTAATCTACTCTCATTATTTAAGGCAAAAACTGTCCGAAATGCCGTTTTCCTTTTTGTATACAAAGTTCGGTTCTTTAAACAATGTTGCGCGTCGCACGGTTCGCCATTTCTGGCGTAATGATACCGAAAGCCGCAACAATAACTTGACGTACTAGTAGTATGTGGCCCTTTATGGGGCGTCAAAAAAAAACCCCACCACCTGGTCCCCCACCACTACTGACGCCATATCCCCACCACTATGGTTTCCCCCCACTCCTACTGTCTGGGGTGATTAGACACGCCCACTGTAGGAGGTGACATTATTTATGACGCAATAATTGACGCGATTTATGGGACTTATATAATTAATAAATAAATTGTGCTTGTGGATTTTTTTATAAATTTTACAAGAAAGCGGGGATGAGTACGGGATGGAGTAATAAATATGGGATGTAAATGTTTATTGTTAAAAGAGAGTGTGTTTATTATAAGATATTCGGCTTGGCGCGTAACTGTTCTGATGTTGCCGCGTCGTGATGCGGGGGCGTTTATAGGGGTAAAGCAGCGTCGAACAAACAAGGGAGGAAGTCTAGAGGGAGGGGTTATTAGTGTCGGCCCCGGAAAGGAGCAATCAGCGGCTGGTACGTTATGGGGCGAGCCAATCGTCGTGTTAGGACACGCGATGAGTGAGGCCCCCGGATAGGTGGTGGGGATGGTAGGGTGTACTCGAACTAGAACGCGTAGATCGAAGAATGGGACTAGGGGTCGTAAATCTTGAAAGGAAAACGAGTACGGATGATGCTACGTGGGTCGTCGTCTTTCCGTAAACACGTGCGAACAGGTCCGTTCAGGTTGGCATGAGTTGAGAGGTGCAAAAATTAATATGAAGTACGGAAGATAGGGGATCTATGAGAAAACTTACGAGAGTTTGTTAAGATCTTATAGATATTTCATGCGCAACGTATTTTTATTATTTCGAGAGGATTGATGGAAATACAAAACAACGTGCTACAGTTATTTGATATAAACTCAAGTATATATTGAATGCGTAGAAGAAAATACAATTTACATAAGTTTATTCTTACAAGTACAGTATTGAATATAGCGTTTAGTAAAACGGTTTTGTATATTGTTGGATTTTGTACAGAATATTTTACGAAATAAACATACAATTAATTCGTCGTTGGTGTCGAAGTTTCCGAAGAACAGTTGTAGAAATTGGGGAAGGCTATACCCGCGAGCCATAAAAGAGAGAAACACACAGCAATAATGCCCGCACGTTTGCGAGAAATATCCTTGAAGTTGAGTCGTGTTCCATGTGTGCGTAGTGGAGTTTCTTCGAAGTCGCAGAAGGAAACGGGGATCTGACAATGATGTTCCATAGCTGTCGAAATACGTGGCATTTCTGTTTCCATCGAGGAAGAAGGCGATCCAATGGATTCCAGGTCGATTGTGATCGTCTGTGTTAGCAACGATAGCTGTCCACTTCGTCCACACCCTGGGCAATCTGTCGGCTGGATAAACTCTCGCGTGTCCAGATATTTGCAGTTGTTGCAAGGCTTGCAATATTTCTTTTGTATTCATTATTTCGATAGAGGTACTCGTGAGAATGCGGAATGAAACGAGCGTATCCCTCTTGTACCTCTGCGTGTGCACCGGTGTTCTCGGTGTAAGTCGTTTTTGCTGGACGAACGGGCTCGGTGTATGAATTTTCTGTTAGGAATTCTTTCTTCTCCGCCGTTTTGATGTCTGTAGATGAAGCTGATTGTATCATGCTGTTTTCGTCGCTGGCGAAGTTGCTATCGGATTCTTCCTCAATTTCAACGCTGTTTAGATTTAACCAGCGTTTTAACCGTAAAGCGTTCCGTAGAGCGCAACTAATGTCAGGTGNGAGAACTCCGTGATACGAACACTGTGATATGTTCTCGTCGCATTCTGAGATGGATTTGAACGACGGAGAGAGGGCTTCTAGATTATATATGTTTTTAGATAGAAGCTTTTGTAAGAAATCGTTTTTTCTTTGCCTCTGGTGTAGACGAGGGACGCGTATTTTGTGACTTCTCGAAGATGTCTCCTGAGATATTTAAGATTGGTTTCTCCGTCAAACCACTCGATACCGTGATAAATTCGTAAAAGCCAATCGTTGCATCGTCTTGATTTTTGTGGTAATTCGGTGAACGAGAACGGGGGCATTAAGATCCAGTTTCCGAAAATTGGTCGATCTACCGCGACAAACGCCACTTCCTTTGGAATAAATTCACACGCGACACCGCGAAATCCTTGCATTTCTATGATCACAGCCCCTTTATACGGGTACAGTGTCATCGCGGAAACAAAGCGAAGATAGCGAGGACTAGCACAAAACTGAAATCTTTCCACAAACGCTCGCGACAAAGGGCATGGTAGAAAAGAAGGTAGGGGAAAAATATTATGATTTTTACGCATGTGCAGAGCGAGAATATGTTTATCCGTTATAATCCACAATGATTTGGCGCGATGAATCGATTTCCAAAACACTGTTGAATTTCGCGTAAACAAGGCAGTTAATAGTCGTTTCAAGAGCTTTTTCAAATCGTACTTCAATTCGCAAACTTCCNTGCTTCACGAGATTCCAATGATCGACGCAATTGGCCGATAAATCAGGCGTGAGATCGAAAGCAAAGAGTGTGTAACCATGCGCATAAGCATCTCTGCTTATAGCATTGCCTTCGTTTAGAAAATGAATACCCGTCCCCGAGAAAAGAGTATAAAAAGCCTCGATGTAGAGAGGAGCGTCTTTTGAAAAAGAAGGTTGTAACGGTTTAGTAGGAACCTGCATTCCATCGACGTAAAGCGACAGGAAATTTATATTAAAGTTTTTAAAATTAAACGGATTCATTACACTATCACCGTTAAACGCCTTATTTTCGACAAAACCGATTATCACACACTTCGGTAGTTGACCGAGTATGGCGTTGTCGATTGATTCCCCCACCACCCCTCTGTGAATTGTGAATGATTTAATCTCGACCCTCGTGAGAGGATATTTCGCTGTGGTTTTACTCAGCATTTTAGCATGGGCCAGTGTTCACAGTTTTGGCTTCCTTACAGCATGCTAAAGCGGTGGAAGGGATGCGCACAACAGCAGCAAATTCTACCTGCATAAACTCGCTGCTGTTGTGCGCATCCCTTCCACCGCTTAAGCATGCTGTAAGGAAGCTAAAACTGTGAACACTGGCATGGGCCAATAACACTCCAGCGCTTAGTTTGGCTCTTCTTATGATCAAGGTGGCGTCTACAATACGAACTTTTGTTTGCGATGTAGGTTCCATAAGACAGAAAGAATCTTTTGAACGGATTAGTCGTAGTCGCATTTCCACACCGTTAATCAGAAATTTATCCCGATTGAAAACGTCGCAATGTAGATATCCTATAAGATCTACAGAACGTTGGTTTTTGAAATATTGCATACGTCTCACGAGAGCGGGGTTGTCATTCGGTGCAACCCCGAATCCATCAGACCCGGAGGATCGGAATCCTATAGCGAGGTGGTAAGATGGGAAGTTTTTGATTCTGAAGAATAATTCAATAATGTCTCGAGATAAGCGCGATATGCATAAGCATTGTTCGGAGGTGACACGAGTTTCTGATTGAAATACACGTCGATTTGGTTGAACATAGAATGTAAAAAGTTATTCACAGGCCCCACTGACGCTGCCACTGCATCACCACCGCTGTTAGAAGCGGCAGGCGGGGCTTCAGGGGTGTTCAGTATTACACGAAGACTAAGAAGAGTATGCGCGAGATTTATATAGTCCTCGCCATGACCAGGTACGACAAACTCTATGGGTGCGTCGTCCGCGAGAGTCGACAAAGGTTTGTAATAAATCCATTGCGAACTCTTGATACTGGTCTGAGTAGGCGGTAGAGTAAAAAGATTTAGTTCACTCTTGAAACACTCGCACGAATGGGTATGGAGAAAAGACATCGTGCCTACGAGAATATATCGCTCACGGTACGTTTCTTGCTCGTGCGTCGTTTGCTTGCGCTAGTCTTTGCTTGCTTCTTCTTTTTTTTCTTCTGAATTCCTCTTCTTATTGAGTGTTTAATTGTTCCTGTTTTCTTTTTTCTACGTGTAGCAGCGGAAGTCGATTTTTTGACGCTACTAGTGCGTCGGCGCTTGATCGCGAAGTGTGTGGGAAGCTCACCAGGGACAAACTGACCCGGACGTTTCTTCGCAAGTGGAATATATCCTGAACCTTTCATTAAACTGGTTATTTTTTCTTGCGCCTGCCTTTGAGATTATCACGTGATTCCTTGAAACGATTGTTAACTGCTTCTTTTAGCGGGATATTGCTATCTCCCACATCGTCTAATATTCTCACTCCGGCGCATAGAGCTTCTTTTCCGATCGCACGAGAACCGCTAGCCAGATAGGAAAGCACTTTTCTGAACAATCTCCCGAGAAAACTCCCGATACCATGCCCGCGCTGATACGTTGATCCTACGAAAACTCTCGGAATTCCGCTTCCTCCCCNTCCCTGCATCTCGTAATATTCTATATAATGAGTCATATTATCTTTATTCAAATATACGTCTAAAATGTAACGTTACAGTCAACGTCCCGAATTCGAATGGTATAAATTTACCAAACTGAGATCTCTTATATCTATTTCTATCGTGCGGAAATTTGTTTTACGAAGCGGNATATAATTTCCAGACGAGTAATGCCTCACTTGATTAGAACCCTACTTGCTCTCGATAGTATTAGTAACTATACGAAGAAGCGGCGTTAGCGCATCACCGGTTATGTATACGAGGGTAGTCCCAGAAGTACCCGACCTGACGTATAGATGGCGGTTGCTGTTTGAAAAAAATCGTTATGACCGAAAGCATCAACCTTATAAAGCTTAAGTTTCAAGTTTCAACATGCTACGTTGGTTAGTATTAGTTCGGCAGCCATCAATAGTGAACGCATATTGACTGAAAATTTAAACATGAAAAAGCTGTGCGCACGATGGGTGCCGCGTTTGCTCACAATTGCACAAAAACAGCGTCGTGAGGATGTTTCAATCGAGTGTTTGGCGATGTTTTGCAGTAATAAGGCAGAGTTTTTGCGTTGATTCATAACCATGGATGAAACATGGGTTCATCATTTTACACCTGAGACCAATTTTTTCTATGTTTACAAATGTCCTGAGAGCGTTCACTATTGATGGCTGCCGAACTAATACTAAACAACGTAGCACGTTGAAACTTGAAACTTAAGCTTTATAAGGTTGATGCTTTCGGTCATAGTAATTTTTTTCAAACAACAACCGCCATCTATACGTCAGGTCGGGTACTTCTGGGACTACCCTCGTAGTTCGCAAATGTCGCAATAAACAAATAACTTGTCGGGGATAGCGCGGATCAGGCTAACCGGATCAAAACTCTCGACACCGTCAATCTTGTCTATTACGAAAGCTGTATTAACAGAAGTTGTCTCAAATCCGAGTATACGACGCAATTTGTCGCTAAGTTTTACATCATGAATTTGTTTGCATTTGTCTTCTTTACATGTAAGCGTTATAGAAACTTTATTACCATAGCGCGGATTCACCGACCATTTGACATGTGATTTCTCTCTAGAGCATGCGTGATTTATAGTTTCTATAAGATCGGCTTCTGTAGAATAAACTCCTGATGATATCGGGATTTCAACCGACAAAACATCACCGTTAGGAAAGGTGTTNGTGAGCGTTATTAGGGCTTCATTTGCGCGTAAATGTAAAAAACTAGAAGGAAATTGAATTTCAACGAGAGCAACTTCCCATCTCCCCTGCAAATCTATACGGCGAGGTAATTCTGTAATAAAACACGAGGTGGTGTTGTGTGGAAAGTAAAGCATGCTGCTATTGCTTGGGAGAACTACGAAAAAGTGTTCCTCTATCGCGATCATCGTTTTGTGGAATTGATGTTAAACTCGAAGCCGCGATCCACGAGTCGAATTTTGACGGGTAACCCTGCCAACTGACTAACAGTTGCCTATTACGCCCCCGCTCTCTGCTCTTTATTACGCGGTCGACGATGAAAGTTTCTTCCTAAAGATTTTTAACAACAGGCGACAGTTCTTGCTCGTAGAAAATACCGTCTATAATCTCATCAGCTAAATCACGCAACTCGTAAACACGGGGATTTCGCCACTCGAGAACACGATGAATTCGGAATATTTCCTCGCTCCACTTAGCCTCGTATCCCTTCTCAAAGACGGCTTTTGCTCTACTGATGCGTACGAGATCGCCTACAGAGTATTTAGCCGTTTTTGCTTCGACGCGGTGTCTTTTCCAACGACGTTGCGTATTGTCGCGCGCGATGTGAGCGTTTTCCAGCGTAATGTCCGCAGGTTTCATGCGTATGGTGGTATGACGAGTGTGATTGTAAGCGCGTACGATATCCTGCAAGATGTCGAGATAACGTTTTGTATTTCTATGAGTAAAATAACGCCACATGCGCTCCTTTAGCGTTCTGTTAAAACGCTCGATCACGGCTGCTTTAACATCGGGATTACGCGCTACGCGGAAACGGATTCCTTCTTTTTTGAGAAATTTTTGCATCGGTTGCGCGATAAATTCTTTACCTTTGTCAGTTTGTAGATATATAGGTCTTCGTCCCTCGTTTCTCGAGAGCACGCGTTGGAACGCATGAAGGACTTGAGCAGCCGTTTTGTCTCGCAGTGTCTCTACCCATGCGAATTTACTGAACACATTAATAATCGTCAGCAGATAACAATATCCATCGTTATAGCTTTGCAGATTTCGCAATTCTATTAAATCAGCTTCCCAGACATCGTCGATATTCGTCACGTTGTAGTGTAGACGGGGAAATTTTCGTCGAACGGGGCGATGTAACGTGTACGCGTCTTGCGAGCGAAGCCAGCGAACAACGCTCTCACGTGAAAAATTCGGTTTAGCGGCTAGTGCCAAGTTCCTCGTCGATGAGTAACCAGCATAATGCGAGGGATTATAATACAGATTTTCAAGCGTTTCGTTTACATCTCCTCCCACGTGAGCAACCGCCTCGGAATTCCGATTTGTATCTTTTTCTTGTTCTTGTCGACGGCGCGGTAATCCCATCCTTCTTCTTCTTCTTCTTCGCTTTCTTCTTGCTCACTATTCCGTACGGATTTACGCTTCGTTCTGTTTCCTCCTTTTCGCAAGAAGCGTAAATATTTAGGATTTCCCACGTATTGGAGAGGTGCGTTTATGTCACGAAGTAAATTGGCGAAATGAATGGCTCCAGTTATTCTGGCGGTTTTTCTTTCTCGTATCGCATCGTTTACGAGTTCCACAATATNCGTTCCCACCAATTCCGGAGTTTTGGTTACGATACCTCGCTCGTTCCATGTAATCTTGGCAGGCACAGCCGCTTCAATTAGATAATTCAGTAGCATTCGTGCTTTGGGCCTGTAAGTTTTCGGAATTGTTTCTATTATCTTTGCTATAGTTTTTTGCTCGCGAGAGCGTGACGCGCTGCTACNGGCGCTGCTGACGATGTTGAGCGGTGTATCTGAAAACGCTACAATTTTCTTGTTCCTCGGGGTCGACTGGTTAACTTGGTGTTGCTGAAGATTATTATGACGCAAGGGAGTTGAATAATATTTTGGTAAATCGCGCTCGGTGGGTGTTGTAGTAATAACGGTAGTAGTAGGCAGTGATAATAGCGGTGAAGCGTCCATTTCTTTCGCCATTTCTTTCGTGTCGTGAAATACTTCTCTCATGCCCTCCTTTTTCTCCTCGCCCTCTGTCACCGCAGTTGTTTCCGCCGCGGTTGGATCTTCTTTGCGAGAACGTCTTCTCACTTTTCGAATAAAATATAGATATCGACGAAGTACTTCACTGTATAATTTCCATCTTTCACCTTCATCACCGGGGGTCGGAGAATCGAGAATTCGCCTCATTTCAGCGTCGAGGCGCGAGAGTACAGTTCCGGGGGTGCGAGTAGTGCTAGCATTTGTATTTTTTCCTGCCATCCGTTGTTGCATTCTTTCGAGATTATCCGTGGAAATCAGCACCATTTTTTTAGCCCGTTCCATGAGTATTCGATAATCCTAGATAACAAAGCTCCGAGTATGGGACCGATGATGTACGGTAAAAATCCTCCTTGCTGCACCAACAGCTTTCTCTTACACCTCCAAGTACCTCTTCTTTCCGCGATACGTCGCAGCGCCGGTTTGTATCGGGTTAGTCGCTTCTTTTCTCTTTTTTCGAGCGGTACGTTACCTCTGAGTGTATTGTGAACGCACTCACGAATATAGCCGATGAATTTATTATCAGCGTTTCGTAGAAAAGCCGCACGCTGATTTTTATTTAAAAGACACAAAGCCTTCAGAAGACAGATGTTTTTCTCACCGAGAGAGCGTCTAGCTCTAATGTGAGTCGACTCGATCCTTTTTTGTTTTTCTCGATTCTTCTGCTGCTGTTGCTCTCTCGTCGCCATCGTAGCTTNGAATGTTGCTTTTCACTCGTGTGCTTCGCATTTTTATACGTTCGTTTTCACATGGGATCTGCGGGCCACGTATACGTAATGGCGTGGATCGTTGGGAAAGATGCATGTTCGAAAACGATATTCGTCCGGTGTCGATTGTTTCAAATCGAGTAGTAAATACTCGTGAGGCCGCGAGGTGGCGTCGTAGTACGTTTCTTCCAGAAACTTTGCGTCGTCGGGATAGACTTGACGCGCGAGATGACGAATTTGCGCGCGATCGCGAGGATTCTTGAAAACTACAATATAATTTGCATTCAGCGAAATATCACGTTGACCGCGTCCCTGGTGAAAAAGATTCTGCGAGATGAGTATAACGCTGAGATTCTTATAATGACTACCTTTAGTAAACAGGTCCACTATCACTTCGCACGATGAGGATTNGCGCATAAGATCATCGATTATTATTAACTTCGCACAGTTCGGGTCGTACGAGTAATCTTCCGCCCGGGGTAAATCTTCGCG